ATCTTTAGTGTCTGTTCTCATGGTCACCACTTCACAATCTCAAGATGGATACTCATTTCAGCCCACTGGAGGGCTCCAGGCAGAAAGCAAGGTAAAGCAAAGAGCAAAAAGCACATGCCAGATGATTTGACCCCCAATAGGGCTTTCTAGAAGCCTATTCAGCAAACTTTTGTACATTTTTCATTGGCCAAACTGTCTTCTTAAGCTACCAAAGTTGTCAGGAATGCTTGGAAGTATGATATTTCACACTAGGCCTATTGCCATACCAACAAAAAAATACTGAGTTTCTATTAGTCAGAAAGAGAGGGAGACCACATATTGGATAAGCAGCCAGAAATGCCTGCCATAAAAAAAGGAACATAAAACTGTTAAATTGGTAGAGGGAACAAAGGGATTAAAGAAAACTGAATTAACTCAATTAATTGAGAAAAGAAAGAATGAGAAAAAGTAAATAAAAGGTAAATAAAAGGACAAAATAACATGTGAGAAAAAGTCCAAATATATTCCTTTTAAAAACTTTATTTTCAATTTATAAACAGTAAAATCTACTCTTTTGGTGTACAGTTATTTGAGTTTTGATAAATGCATGCGGTTATGTAATCACACCACAACTAAGAAACAAAACACATACATCACTCCCAAAATTTCCTCAGGCTACATCTTTGTAGTCAACTCTTTTCCCCAACTGCAACCCCTAGCAACCAATGATGTTCTCTAGACCTATAATTTTGCCATTTTTAGAAGGTCTATGAATGTAATTATATAATTGTATGTCTCCCTTGGAGGCTGGCTTATTTCTCTTAGCATAATGCATTTTAAATTCTTCCTTGTTGTGCCTATCAATACTCCATTCCTTTTTTTATCGCTGAGTAATATTTCATTATAAGATGTTCCAGGAGAGAGATCCAAGATGGCTGATCACTAGCAGCTCAGGATGGTAGCTCCCAGGGAAAGCACAGAGAAGGAGAGGACGCCACAGTTTCAGATGAATTTTTGTTGCTCACGCACCAGGAGATTCCCAGCAGAGGAGCCCCACGGGTTGCCAGTGTGACTCTTGTGGCCGGTGAGGCGGTTTTGCCGCTGCCTTGGTGCAGAGGTTCTTGGTGCAGAGTCAGAAAAGCACCATCAATCTTAACACCGCTGTTTTGGCCGGCACAGTGGGTTGCTCAGATTTTAGCTCTGGGAATCAACAAGTTGGACGTCCACTCAGAAACCCAATTATAAAGACGGTAATTATAAAGACCACAGATGGATAAATCTATAACGAAGGGAAGAAACCAGCCTAAAAAGGCTGAGAATACCTAAAATCAGAACGCCTCTCCCTCTACAGGGGATCACAGTTCCTCATCAGCAACGGAACAAGGCTGGATGGAGAACGAGTGTGTTCCATTAACAGAAGCAGGCTTCAAAAGGTGGATGATAAGAAACTTCAGTGAATTAAAAGAACTCGTTCTAACCCAATGCAAAGAAACTAAGAACTTTGAAAAAAGGTTTGACGAAATGTTAACAAGAATACACAATTTAGGGAGGAATATAAGTGAATTAATGGAGCTGAAAAACACAACACGAGAACTTCGCGAAGTATGCACAAGTTTTAACAGCCGAATTGATCAAGCAGAAGAAAAGATATCAGAGGTCAAAGACCAACTTAATGAAATAAAACGAGAAGACAAGATTAGAGAAAAAAGGATAAAAAGGAACAAGCAAAGTCTCCAAGAAATATGGGACTATGTGAAAAGACCTAATCTACGTTTGATAGGTGTACCTGAATGTGACGAAGAGAATCTATCCAAGCTGGAAAATACGCTTCAGGATATTATTCAGGGGAACCTTCCCAACCTAGCAAGGCAGGACAATATTCAACTCCAGGTAATACAGAGAACACCACAAAGATATTCCTCAAGAAGACCAACCTCAAGGCACATAATCATCAGATTCACCAGGGTTGAAATGAAGGAGAAGATACTGAGGGCAGCCAGAGAGAAAGGTCAGGTTACCCACAAAGGGAAGCCTATCAGACTCACAGCAGATCTCTCAGGAGAAACCCTACAAGCCAGAAGAGAGTGGGGGCCAATATTCAACATCCTTAAAGAAAAGAACTTTCAACCCAGAATTTTACATCCAGCCAAACTAAGCTTCATAAGCGAAGGAAAAATAAAATCTTTTGTGAACAAGCAAGTGCTCAGAGATTTCATCACCACCAGGCCTGCTTTACAAGACCTTCTGAAAGAACCACTACACATAGAAAGGAACAACCAGTATCAGCCTTTCTAAAAAATACCAAAAAGTAAAGAGCATCAACATAATCAAGAATTTACATCAACTAATGGTCAAAACAGCCAGCTAACATTAAATGGCAGTATTAAACTCACATATATTATTATTAATTCTAAATTTAAATAGACTAAATCCCCCAATCAAGAGACACGGACAGGCAAAAAAAGCCAAACCCATCAGTATGCTGCATCCAGACCCATCTCACATGCAAGGATACACAAAGACTCAAAACAAAGGGATGGAGAAAGATTTACCAACCAAATGGAGAGCATAAATAAGTAAGTAAGTAAATAAATAAATAAAAAGCAGGAGTTGCAATTTTTGCCTCTGATAAAATAGACTTTAAAGCAACAAAGATCACAAGAAGCAAAGAAGGATATTACATAATGATGAAAGGATCAATGCAACAAGAAGAGCTAAAGATCCTAAATATATACACACCCAATACAGGAATACCCAGATATTTAAGACTTATAAAAAGACTTAGACTCACACACAATAATAGTGCGAGACTTCAACATCAACATTAGACAGATCAATGAGACAGAAAATTAACAACAATATCCAGGATTTGAACTCAGATCTGGAACAAGTAAACTTAGCATTTATAGAACTCTCCACTTTAAATACACAAAATATACACTCTTCTTAGTACCACATCACACCTATTTACAGGTTTAAATGAAATATTGGTTGGCTGCTTGTTTGTTATTTTCTTCCCTCATTTTTTTTTCTTTTTTTTTATGTCTCTATTATTAAGCACAATTATAGGCATATCCATTTTTAGACTGCATGCTAGCCTGGGCAATAAAGCAACACCCCCGTTCTCTCTCCCTCTTCCTCTTCCTCTTTCTTCCTCTCCTTCGTTTTTTTTAATTCTTTTTTTTCTTTCTTTCTCTCTTTCTTCTTTTTCTTTTTTTTTTAAAAAAAGTTCAAATACCAGAATTTCATTTTAAATTAAAAAAAAAGATGTTCCACAATTTGTTTATCCATTCACCAGTTGAAGAGTGTTTCCAGACATGTGATATTATAAATAAAGCTGCTATAGAGATTCATATAGAGGTTTTTTAAACATAAGTTTTCATTTTGCTTGAAATAAAACATAGGAGTGAGATTGGTGAGTCATGTGGCAAGTGTATGTTTAACTTTATAAGAAGCTCCCAAAGTGTTTTCCAAAGTGGTTTTACCATTTTACATTCTCACGAACAATGTATGCAAGTTTCATTGTCTTCATATCTTCACTAGCACTTGGCATTAACAAGTTTGTTGTTGCTACTCCAGTAGGTAGACAGTGGTATCTCACTGTGGTTTTAATGTGTGTTTCTCTAATGACTTACAATGTTGAGTGTCTTTCCAAGTGCCTTTATTCCATCCATATGTCTTCCTTGGTGTCTCAAATCTGTTAAAATCTTTTCTCTTCTAAATCTATTTTTAATTTCAATAAATACTAATGGACTAAAACTAGTTTTTAAAAAGCAGCAGAAATTGTCAACTTGGAAAAAATAACAAAATCCAACTGTATACTATCAAAAAGACATCTAAACGTCATGACACCAAAATCTTGAAAATAAAAGGATGGAAAAATTGTAGCAAATAACAAAATAAAGCTGATGTAGCTATAGTAATACCAGATAAAATTCATTTAAGGCAAAAAGCATTATTTGGGATAAAAGGGAAATTAAATAATAAGAAAAAAATTAACTGGGAAAATATTAATACTTATAGACACTTAATAACAACCTCTATTTGTATAAAGTAAAAGCTGACAGAATTGCAAGGAGAAAACGATAAATCCACAGTGATAGTGGAAACTTGTTAGATTTAGCTGAAAAACAATATTGGGAAAAATATAGAAGATTGAACTTCATAATTAACAAAACAATCTACTGAACAAATTTAGACCCCTGCATCCAACAATTAGAGAATATGCATTTTTATAAAGCAAACACAACATTTGGAAAAACCAGTCATATTCAAGGCTACAAAGCAAATCTTCACAAATCAAAGAACTGACATACAAAACACATTCTCTGATCACAGTGTGATAAGAGAAATAATAATAAAACATCATATTTGGAAAATTCAAAACAATTTATAAATAATTAATGGGTCAAAAAGTTTAAGAAACTGTAGAACTGGATCATGATGAATACACTAAAAACCAAAACATGTGGGATGCCACTAAAAAGAAAATTTAAAACTTTAACTGCACACAGAAAACAAAAAAAAGCTAAAAATCAATCAACTATTAAGATATTAAAAAGAACAGAATAAAACCAAAATAAAATGTTCTCTGAAAAAAGAAATAAAACAGTCCAACAATCATGATTTAGAAAAAAGGAAGGAAGACACAAGTAACAATCTTTGCAGGAAAAATGGGCAAATCTACAGACACAGTTGAGATTATGTCAGATGTGGGACTAGAATCCAAATTCTGCCATTTATTATCCTTGTTTGTGATCTCTAAGCTTCAGTTTGCTCATATGCAAAATGGAGATGATATTTACACTGAGAATGCCTAGTCATAATGGTCACTCAGCAAATACTAATTTCTTTCATCTCCCTTCAATTTCTTTTAGTTAGTAGTTCTGTTGAATGAAGACGGCAAAACAAATAAAATGTGAGATTTTATGAATTATTAATCATCTATATATGCAGCCATTTTCTCTATCAACATGCATAAGCAAAAATTGATCATACTTTGTTTTAAAGGTGTTTCTTACCTGCCAAAACACATTCTTGACTATATAAAAGTCTACATCCAAAGCAGCCATGAACATAATTAAAGGTGAAAAGTAAGAAAAAAGTGAAAAACTTGATGTTCTTATAAGAGGGTAGACAATTTGGTGCACCTAAAATAACAAAGGCAAACAAGAAATTAGTTTGCTACCAATTCCAAGTATTAGAAATTAGTTTGATGCTATGTCAATCAATACACATTTTAGAATCTCTCAGTTTACAGCTAGTGAGAGAGTATTTACAAGGGCAATCCTAAGGGTCCCATGGTAGATTTCTTAATGTAGCCATCCATATGGGTTATATATGTAGTCCTCTATTCAGTGAATTATATGGTTTGCAGCTACACAAACACTGTTTATGATATGCAATCAGTATTTTCAATATTACCTACATTGGTAATATTAGAAAATATTTTAGGTGATTCACAGGTAAGTATTTTTTAATTTGACTGTTAGATGTTTATTTCCATTTGCTTTAGTTGAGGAAAGAATCCTGAATGGGTGCTTGTTTCACAGACATGGGCTTAGGATTTTTAAATCTTTAAGTGGGACAGTAGAGAAAAATAATTCATAGAAAACAGTAGATTGTATACATAAGGCATAAATCATGAAGGTTGTACACAGATTAATGGAAAACTCAACAACAATGATTGAAGGGCTATAAATATTCCATACTAAAAAGTTTATTTTGGCCCCCTAGTTTAACTTTCATTACATCACCTCCCTATACCTCACTTTGCTCATCTGTAAAATGGAAATAGAGTATCTGCTTTCAGTGGGTTGCTGTGAGACTGAATAAATTAACTCAAAGGTTACTAAGCTAATAAATTAATAAATACAAAGCACTTAAAAGAGAGCCTGGCACACTCTGAAGATGTCAGCTAGTAGTAGCGGTGGTATTTCAGAAGATTAGGAAGAGGTATTTACAATCCTAGATGGGTACAAGCATTATCTCCATTTTTAAAAAATAAAGGAATGAGTGACAGCAAATTGTTATTGATCATACTGCTATACAGCTGAAATCAGAAGTTAATACTAGGTTGATAAATAAATGAATGTTGTTTTGTATCTATAGTATATATTATGTGAAGCATGTTTTACATTTAATCTGGCAGTGCCCATGCCTCGTGATGAACATAACTGGTGCCATTTATAAGCAGGTCTTTTATAAGGCAACAGCAGGGAAGAAGCCACTGTATGTGGAGGGGAAGAGCAAGGCTCCAGAAGCAAATAATAAACCCAAAAATGCAAACACATTTTCCTTGCTTTATTTTTTTTGTTTTGTTTTGGTTTTGTGTGTGTGTGTTTGTTTTTTTACAATCTTGTGCTGATGCCCAGGCTGGAATGCAGTGGAGTGATGTTGGCTCACTGCAACCTACGTCTCTTGGGTTCAAGTGATCCTTGTGCCTCAGTCTCCCAGGTCACTGGGATTATAGGCATGGGTCACCCCTCCTGGCTAATTTTTGTATTTTTATTAGAGACAGGGTTTTGCCATGTCGGCCAGGCTGGTCTCAAACTCCTGGCCTCAAGTGATCCACCCGCCTCGGCCTCCCAAAGTGCTGTGATAACAGGTGTGAACCACCACACCCAGCCACATTTTTCTCTTATTACTACTTTTTTAAAGCTTCCCTAATTGATGTGTCCTTTACTGTGTGTTTTTTTTTTTTATTTTCTAATTTTTTAATACCAGATAGAATTTTTTGAGTAACTCTTCCCATAAGAGAAAATATTCCATGCATTCAGGAATAAGATGGGAGTAGACTTTATTTTTGGCCTCTTTCCTCTAATTTTTTCTCTAATTTATAGTACATACCTCAACAGAATTGTAGGCCATTCGTCCTATCACAAATCCTGATAGAGAGAGAATTGTCAAAACAATGACTTCAGAATTCTTTAAACACGTCTTCAAAAACCCTAAAGAAATGTATATATGTGTTATTTAAACATAATTTGTTTCAAAACAATTTAATTAATATTTCTTTTCTCTAGTTGTTTAATTTCAAACTTCCGAGTGTCATATTCTTGTGGATGAATAGCTGATAGCTGTTATAAATGCTGTCTCTTAAGTATATAACATATAATAAGGCATCTTTCACAGGCGAATCTGGAAAATATTAATGTTTCAACAACTTCCCATTTGCCCACCCCGTGACACATCAGAATAATGTATGGGTTTCTTACCAATGGATCGGACAGTGAGAAATTATGGAAAGCCCAGTTTTACATCTACATAGTACACCTTATGTTAATGATTCCTCATCCTAAGCTATAGCGACATATTTCTATAATTTTCCCAGAAGCCAGAAAGACATTTAACTGAGCTCTATAGAGAAACTGCTTTTATGATACTAGTAACAAAAGCCAGTCATTATTCTCTATCTGCATTTTCTTGCCTTGAAATTCTACTCTGTCTAAAGTTATTCATTTCATTCCCTCCAGAGACAATAAATAAACTATAATTCAATTAAGATTCATTGGCATCCCAGATTCTGCATTTCCTGACTTCCAGTTATAAGTCAAGCCGCATCATTAAATATTAATACAGAAGGTCTTGACTTACTTTAGGATGGTGCAAAAGTGATACAAATTTGGAAGAAACTATACTTCGAGTACTCATACAACCATTCTGTTTTTCATGTTTAGTACAATATTTACTAAATTACCTGAGATAGTCAATATTTTATTATAAAATAGACTTTGTGTTAGATGATTTTGTCTAACTGTAGGCTGATATGTTATGAAAGCTTTTAAGGTAGGCTAGTCTTAGTTACAATGTTCAGTAGGTTAGTTGTATTAAATGCATTTCAACTTACAATATTTTTAATTTATGATGGGTTTATTAGGATACAACCTGATAATCAAAGGCATCTGCACTTCTTTTTTTTTTTTTTTTTTTTTGAGACGGAGTTTTGCTGTTGTTGCCCAGACTGGAGTGCAATGGCACGATCTCGGCTCACCGCAACCTCCGCCTCCTGGGTTCAAGCAATTCTCCGGCCTCAGCCTCCCGAGTAGCTGGGACTACAGGCACGCACCATCATGCCCAGCTAATTTTTGTATTTTTAGTAGAGACGAGGTTTCACCTTGTTGACCAGGATGGTCTCGATCTCTTGACCTCGTGATCCACCCGCCTCAGCCTCCCAAAGTGCTGGGATTACAGGCTTGAGCCACCGCGCCCGGCTGGCATCTGCACTTCTAACAGGTAAGACCAGATTAAGAAATGTTTTTTACACTATCTCTGCAATGCTCTTTATTACTGGAGCATTCGTCTCTATAAAGGTTATAGAGCTAGTTCATGGTCGTCAGCACCTTGTGATATCAAAAGGGACCAAGATCATTAGTGAGTACATTAAAGATCCCCAAGGAAAGCAATTTCACTCCTTGATACAATGGGTTAAATTGAAGGAGTTCTTTATGCATACTTGCTTCATTATTTGTTTCTATATAGTATTCCTAGTACCAGAAAGGATTTTAAAGCAGCTATTTTTCCCAAATAAATTTTATTTTACAGGAGTCTAGAAACTTTTTCCTCATCTCTAGCATTGAATTGCAGACTAAAGCATCTGTGTATTGAATATGTTGCTTGATCCGCATGAATATCATTCACTATACCTGTTGAATTCTTAACATTAAGAGGTCCTTATTTGTGAAGCCTTTCCTAATTTTCTTCTTGGGGTTGGGATGGGTTATTTATCTTCCCTGAAGAACGATCACATCAAAAGCCATAGTAAAATGGACAAAATTAATGACATCAATTATGTAAATCATGAATTGTATGCCTGGGCTCTATTTGTGTGTTTGCTCCCATTGCCCTCTCCTCTCTCAGATATTTTGGTTAGGTTAGGTCTGGCCAGGCAGGCAGTGTACAGCTCTTCCTCATTCTTGTGAGCAGAGAATCTTGGCCACACCTTTATAGTTATACTTAACACACTGCACAGTAATTATGTGTTTGCCAATCTCCCCCATGAGAAGACTCCTTGAAGTTAAGTTATTCTTCTTACATGTCTACCACACTACATGCTCAGCAAATGTTACTGAATAGAGGAATATAGAATAGATCCTACTTATAATTAAATGAAGCGAGATTGACAGTATTAACCCATGTCTTTATCTTTTCATTGGGCCCTTTCTTTTGAGGTATGTAGTTGTGATGGCTTTCTGCATTGACAAAAGGTTCACAGAACAGAAGAAAGATGAATTTCAAAAACAATCGCTTACCTCCCAAAGCAACAATGAAACATACAAGCATTATGAAATGTTGGTCTTCAACAAGGTAGTCAGCTGGATGCCCGCAGAGTAAATCAGGTCTGGTACTTTTGTTTTGTGACCAGAAGTAACTCATTTTTGCTGCTGCTTTTCCCCAGACCTAACTTGATGGAGTCGTTTCGGTTATTATTGACACTTTCACTTCTGCACACTAACCTGTATAGCATGCAAAAAGAACATGAGACCACAATCGCTTACCTCCCAAAGCAACAATGAAACATACAAGCATTATGAAATGTTTGTCTTCAACAAGGTAGTCAGCTGGATGCCCGCAGAGTAAATCAGGTCTGGTACTTTTGTTTTGGACCAGAAGTAACTCATTTTTGCTGCTGCTTTTCCCCAGACCTAACTTGATGGGAGTCGTTTCGGTTATTATTGACACTTACACTTCTGCACACTAAACTGTATAGCATGCAAAAAGAACATGAGACCTACCAAGACCCAATTCATCCATACTCTTTCTACCTAAGATTGTGCCACACTCAGATCTGAGCATGTCTCTTCTTGTCACAGAGCACACATTAATACCTCTTGTCCTATCTCTTGCTCCAAGAACATTTTATAGGAACACTAACAGCAGTGTTAGTATTTACTCCTTGTACTGTTACATGCATATGGAAAGAGGGGGTGCATTGATTGGCACATTTACCATTATACCAATATGGTAATGTGCTTGCTTTACCCATTGGACAGGGAGTTTCTCAAAGGCCAGTGCCCAAACTTTCCTTAAGGCTGTGCACATGGTATGTGGCACAAGATAGGCTCTCCAAAAATATTTGATGGGCTGAACTCTTTGAGGGGGAAGATGCAAGGATAAATGTTATGCCCCTCCTTCTCTGTGGGTATAAATCATTCTGGAATTCCATTTTACCACTCCAGCCCCAATATCTATTTTTCTTCTCTCTGCATCCTTCGAATAAAAGATGGTGGATGGGAAACAAAATCAAGTTGAGTAACACCAGTTAAGGTTTTGGAATGAGGATAAGGGTGAATAACCTCAAAATAAGGGAAAAGACCAAGACTGAGCTTTGATCATATGATGCCTTTGAGTGAATTAGAGAAAGACCCCCTTTCTCAGTGCAATGAAGCCTGACAACAGGGCACATGACTTGAGATGTGACTACCAGGCTGGATTTCAGCCCCAGGCCCCCACCTCAACTGGTGCTCTGTTAGGATGTACCCTGTGCAAACCTATGCAGTGGTCTTGAGAAAGATTTGTTCTGTTTTATTTTTCCTTGCAGCTAGCTTTAACCTAAAAATCCTGGAGTATCTCCAATAATATTTAAGCCTTATCTTTGGTCCCTTGTTTTGCACTTGTTTGGTCTACAGGTCACAGTGATTCTATGTGAAGCAGAGGATGGACCAGAAAGAGATTCAAAATGCTACATCTTCAAATGCCTTCACCTGTCCCTCCAGTAGCCCTTCAGGTCCTTAGTGTCTTCAACCCCTGCTATCCTCATGTGTTAATGACCCTCAAGTTAAGTTCTTCTCCAAATTACCCAGATCAGAGATATGTTCCTCCAATATTAAGCTAGTTCAAAGTTGAAATTGAGATGAAGGCTCTCAAAATCCCAAAGAACAATGCACAGCTCTGCGTCTGTTTGCCAGGGACAGTACTACCAACTGATATCACACCAAAATCTATTTCCATGCCTACTTCCCATTGGCTTCTTGCCAACCTGCTTTCATTCTGATTGGCTACCTACATTATCCCAACCCCCAATCCAGAAGAAGCCAAGCCAAAGCATCCCCAAGGTTCTGGGGATGCTTTCATATCTTAACGCTCAAGCTAGGTAGGCACCCACAACTGTTTTAACTGACTTTTTTTTTTTTTTTTTGCTGATATAATAGCTGAAATGGTCAAAGATATTAATATAGACAGAATCTCCTTCTATATTTTTAATATATACTCTATATTTCTTATGCCAACATTATCTGGCTCAACCCCCTCTTCAACAGTCTTGTCTCCTCTCTAGTTATCTTTTAGTGGTCTTGTTTCATTTTCTTTTTCTACCTTTCCTTCCTTTTCAGTTTTGCTCACTCTCATTTTCCTAACTCCTATTTATCATTGGTTTCTAGTTCTTAATTTGAAGAAACAATGTCATCCATTCTTCATGGGATGACAAATGCATCCCAAATTCCATGAGGCCTAACTTACATACTTCTTGCCTCAAATCTAATCACTAAAAACAAATACAGTATAAATATTAAACAAATGAATAATCATCATCAATTTGTGGGTTACTTTCAAGGAAGGGTTGTTTGGTGACAAATTCTGATTCCTGTGCCACATTCATCAAGGTTCTGCACATCGTCTTCCAGAGGGCACCAAAGCAAACATCCTAGATTACTCCTTCACTATGTATCAAGAAACCTCTGACAAATGAGTATCAATTCCTACTTGAGACTAAACAAAACTCGAGTCAACAGCTCTACGACTGTGACAAGCAACACTGGTGCTCACATACTAGCTCCTAAAATATTCTTTATGAATTCCTTTTTTGTACAAACTGGTGTGGTTCTCTTAAGTCACTGGGCCCAGCCCTACTATAATGCCAAGTACCATGTTTAGACAAATTGTCTCATTCACAGGCCCTCTCCTAAGAGACCCATTCCTTACTCTTACCTCTTCTGCCTTTACTTAACTCACCTCATTCCCAAGTTCACTACCCTCCCACTCTCATCTTCAATACTGGCTGTCACCTTGATTCCTCTCAGAATTAAGTTTGACTCTCTCCTTAGTCAAACTGATCTCAGCACTGCCTCAGATCAATTTGAGTAATGCCCTTCCAGGTACCATTTAGTTCCTATCCTAACTGCTTTCCCCTCAGGCTCATTTGGTTCACCTAAACCAAGCAGCTAAGACTCCTTGAAGTTCAGATTTCCCATGGCCTTTAGAAAAATCCTTATACTTCAGGAAAACTTGGAGGAAATCCATAAAGTCAGCTAGCTTACACATATTTCTCAAAGCTAAAGAAAGCACGTAACTAAAATATAGAGATGACCAAATTTCTCTACATTACAACCCTTCCCAGAGAGCTTTTTTAAAAATTATAATAATAATAAAGTTATATCTCACCATTTTTTAATAAATCCAACTGGAGGAGATGCTGGTAAATCTGGGGAGTTGAGTGCTGAGAGGCTGCCCAGTGTATTTTCTCCCAACTCCATCTTCTGATAAGAGATAATACTATTTAACTTAGATAGACACATAACATAGGAGGGTTAGTCAGTTTCCCATCCCCTAACATTATGATTGGTTCAGGAGTGGTCACGGACTCCGATAGCACCAATTAGATGGTTCCCTAGGTTGGTATATTCCATTATTGGGAGACAGCTCTTCTCTCACCACTTGGGTTTAGTTGTGATGATGACTGCACAGAGCAGCTAGAGGCCGCCTTCCCAGCTGTATGGAGAAAGCCCACCTAAAGTCTGAAAGGTTCTATGAGGCACCACCTTAGATATTTCCGAGTTCTTAACAAATGACTTTATACTTCTACCATGGATTTCATCTTTTCCCAGAAACCATTTCTTAGGTGGAGAACGTTTTGCCCCCTAGAAAGGATAGGATTGAAAAGCAATTTTATTTTGAAAGCCAGTGAGAACTGGCTCTTTTATATATCTTCTAAATTTTATTTGAAAGCTGAAATGTTCCTTCTCAGTTTCTCTCTTTTAGTAGAAGCCAGGTGGTATTTGAACACTCAGCGGAAATATCCTTAGCAGGGTCACTGAAGTTCATTAAATAGACAAAATGTGGCCAAACTTGCCCACCGTCTCCTAACAAGGGCCCCTTTTCTCCAGCTTCTGGTAACACTTTCCTCTCTTTACTATAAACTCACCAATAGCCTACTAGAGGGCCCTAGGGCTTCTGCTAATACTGTACTTTTGTAGCAGGAGCGGCCACGGGAAATCTCTAGAACACCAAATGGAGAAGGAAGGAGCCTGAGTGATAATTTGTCCAAAGCTCAGTTCATCTAACAAAGGAAGGTTCTGCCTTTATATAGGCTTATACTTTAGATATTACATGTCGAAGAATCTTGGGTTTACAGTCTTAGAAATCACATATGAAAAGGGTGCTGGTTTACATCTTCAGGAATCACATATGAAAGGGTTGCAGTTTACAATTTTAGGAATCACATATGAAAGGGTTCCGGTTTACAGTTTTAGGAGTCACATATGAAAGGGTTCCGGTTTACAGTTTTAGGAGTCACATATGAAAGGGTTCCGGTTTACAGTTTTAGGAATCACATATGAAAGGGTTCCGGTTTACAGTTTTAGGACTCATGTGAAAAGGTTTCGGGTTTGATCTTGTTTTAAGTAAAAGCAGTGTCTTCCGGAGAGTTTCCCCAAGACCAAGCCTGCCACCTACAGGAAGGTGAAATAGGAGGCACCAGTCAGTCAGCCTTTTCTTCTATTGAAATGCAGTGTGATAGTCAAAGGGGAAGTTGATCTCAGATGCCTGGGTCTCCTTCCTCACTTGAAGGCCTGTAGCTTTCACCCACACCTTCTTCCAGGCCTTTCTGGCCTCTGCCTATCCAGTCCGAAAGACAACGCCACATATTTTAGGTTTTGTTATGTCAATTTCTCACTTCCAAGTTGTAAAATTTGTGAATATTGCAGAGTAACAAACAAACACAAAACTGAGTAGCTTAAAACAACAACATTCATTTATTTCATTTACAAATCTGCAATTTTTTGCAGGGCTCAGCACAGAAGGCTTGTCTCCACTCCATACAGCATCAGCTGGGCGGGCTTGACTGGAGGATCTGCTCTAAGATGGCTCACTCATATGGCTGGCAAGTTGGGGATGACTGCAGGCTGGAGCTCAGCCAAGGCTGTGGGCTGGAGTCTCAGTTCTTCCCCATGGATCTCTCTACAGGCTGGTTTCCAAGAGTAAGCATTCAAGAGAAAGCATTTCCCCTAGTTAGGCTGAGAACTCTCACCTTTTATGATCTAGCCTCATAGAATCATTTCCACTGTAGTGACAAGTCTGCCCAGATTCAAGAGGAAAGAACAGAGACACACCTCTCTATGTGAGGAATGTCATGACCATATTGTAAGAAGAGCATGTGAGAAGGGAGATGTGGCCATTCCTTTTTTTCTGGTCAATTAAATACAAAAGTCTAAAGAACTACTGTCTAAAAGTTAACATAACATTGAATTTAGCCTTTGACTGGCTACTTCCCAAATAATGTGGAGGCTTTATGGATTTATTAGTATGCACTTTGGATAGTAACTACTTTGTGGATGTTCAGAAAAAGCCATGCAGCTACTACTGTATGCAGCTACCTATGCTCAAAACTCAAAGCAAAAGGGCATTTAAGCTCTCCTATGAATATAATTCAATGCAACAGTATGTGACAAGAGATACTATATCTCTCAAAATGGACTAACATTACAAATCTATAGATATAAGTAAATGTTCAGATTCTCCCATCAAAGGAATCTTTGACATGAGATCCAGGAATCTGTTGGTAATCACTAGGTTCACATGCTAAAAAGTAAAGTGACATTCAAGGTGAAGGCTTAGAAAATAGAAGGTCAGAGGAGAAATTAGGCATAGAATTACAATGTTGGATATATATGTGGCTTATCTGCTGGAGGAGTAGGAGTTAAAATGGGGCAAGATGTGGAGATCAAGTGTGTAAAGTCATTTTTATAAAGGTGAACAAGCTCTATAAATTAATGAAGAGACAATGAGTTATATGTATAAGGTATTACTAAAAGATAATTCATTCAATGATTTACTAACTTACTGTCTTACGAACTTTTTAGGTATAAGAAGGAACAAGACAAAGTCCCTACACTCAAAAAGCTTACAATTCACATGGAAAGACAAACTTGTGAACAATTAAGTAGGATACAGTATGAGGCTATTAGCACTACAGGTGCCCCAAAGAGGGAAGGACTCATTCTTCATAATACTCGTGACAGGAAAGGTCATGGAATAGAGAATTACAGATTGCTTTGCTAAGGGTTAGGATTGAATTTTGAGAAATTCCCACAACTGAGGGCAAGATGAAGAAGAGTAACTGATGAAGGAGTTAGAAAAGCAGTTTTAAGAGAGTAGAGGAATCATAACTGGTATAAAGGTGCCAACACAAGGAGTTTAAAAATAGTATCAGCAAATGTATCAAAAGCTATAAAACATTTAAGGATAAGGATTCAAAGATGAATAAAGAGGGAAAATAGTTTTATTTTATACTAAGGGGTCTCCAGAAATGTCTTGGTCTAATTTAGGAATCTTTGAAGTAAGATCCAGGAACTGCTCCCTAATCAGGAACACACACCTGGAAAGTAATGTCGTATTCAAAATCCAAGCTCAGAAAATGTGGAGTTAGAGTAGAAATGACAGAAGCGGTACCTGGACTTATCGCAGTGCTTAAGAACACTGGTCTTCTCATGATACACTGTATTAAGAAAATGGGCAAGGCATAGTGATTCAGACCTGTAATCCCAGGACTTCAGGAGGCCAAGTCAAAAGGAATGTTTCAGGCCAGGAGCTCAAAGACTAGCCTGAGAAATGTAGCAAGACTCTATCTCTGCAAATATTTATTGATTTATTTATTTTTTTTATTTATTTATTTTGAGACGGAGTTTTGCTCTGTCACCCAGGCTGTAGTACAGTGATGTGATCTCAGCTTACTGCAACCTTTGCCTCCTGGGCTCAAGTGAGTCTCCTGCCTTAGCCTCCCGAGTCACTGGGATTACAGGCACATGCCACCACATCCAGCTAATTTTTGTATTTTTAGTAGAGATAGGGTTTCACCATGTTGGCCAAGCTGGTCTCGAACCCTTGACCTCAGATGATCCACCTGCCTCAGCTCCCAAAGTGCTAGGATTACAGGTGTGAGCCAGCACCCAGCTTTCAAATGTTTATTATTTAATTAGTCAGGCATGGTGGGAAGATCACTTGAGTGCAGGAGTTAGAGGTTACAGTGAGCTAGGATCATGACAGCTCCTGGGCAACAAAAGAAGACCCTGTCAAGAAAGAGGGTGGGTAAGACAGAGACAGAAAGAGGAAAAAAGAGGAGGAGGAGGAGAGGGAAGGGAAGGGAGGGGAGAGGAAGGGAAAGGGGAAGGGGAAGGGGAAGGGGAAGGGGAAGGGAGAAGAGAGAAGGGAGAAAGGAGAAGGGAGAAGGAAGGAAAAAAAGAAAAAAGAGCAAACACAGATCTTCTTTGTATTGCTCCATAAACACCCACTGGGTTGGCCAAAAAGGTGTGTTGAGAGTTATTACAGTGTTCTTTTGCTTTGAAAAATTAAAACTGAATTGTTCACACATTAAAAAGATTAAAAACTTTAAAATTTGGGAGACATTTAAAACAGGGTTATCTTAAAACCATGGTTAAGTAAATGTCAACTGACAAAATATTACTGAATTACTCATTTCTTTTCCTTCTCCCCATAAAGGAAAACTAGCTTTCAGAACAAGACAAAGAGGAGAAAGTCATAAGAACAAAGAATAAGTGCTTTTTAAAAATGATTTTCTTTTCTATAAAATTTTTCCATAAAGTTACATGTAAGAGAAGGTTGAGGCGCTTGATTAAATAAACTAGAAAAAAGGTTTTCCAAACCACCAATATGAAACCGACTATAGTATTTAAAACCTAGGAAATATAAAACAGAATGGGAGGGGAAATGGCCTTCAGTCCAGTTACAGTATCTGTATTGCCAGCCTTATAGGATAGTAAAACTATACAGATTTGTGTTTATTAATTTATAGATGGAGGTCAAAGATAAAGAGGGGGTTTACTCAGAGGTAAAGTCCCACCTCATAGGTAAATTTTATTTTGGACATAAAAAGTGATCGTTGTACACAGAGGCTCCTAATCCAACCCAGTCTTAATATTTCCTTGCTCCAAGTGTCATTCCATAACATTTCCTTTTTAGAGAAGGAGAACAAATTTTTTTCTCTGGAAACAGCCAAATATGTCCTTTTATATGGAATGCCTCAATTACACAGAAAATTATTAGGTTCTCTGAGTAGTTATTAAAGCCTCCACATGGTCTTTGTGAGTGATTTATGCCCAAGTGCTTTCCTGAAGGAGCACGTGAAACTCACATGGGGCTGTGCTTGGAGGGGCAGAGGCAAGGCCAGAGAGTCCGGACGTAAGCATGCTGAACAGGTCAAACAAAACAAGGGTGATGTAATGTTGTACTTAAATACCTAAAGAAAACCACATATGTTATCTAGGTTTGAAATGGCATGAATAGTTTGTCTTTCAGATACTAGAAGAAAATGTGACCTTTTACAAAGCATATGTTCAGTGGAAGGTATCATCTTGATTTCTCTTCTGATCATGGCTTATTATAGATTTGGCACTTTTCACTTGACCTAAAAGGAAACAGATTTTAAAATTACATATAATTATTTGCAATACGAAACAAAATGAAGCCAGTTTTTAAGACAATAGGCATGGAATAAATCAGACTGTCCCAGCTACTAATTCAACCCTAGTGTTGTTGGTATGTCATTCAAATATTCTCTCCTTTTCATTATATTTAAAGCTGTGAGGTCATATTTCCCATATAATCAGTATTATTGTCCCTAGTTCTGCCATTGATGAGAATAACTCATCAATGAGTGGATGAGTTAAACCTCTATCGTCTTCATCTTCTTAACTGCAAAGGCAGGGGTCATTTCAGAGGTTCCATCAAGATCTAACATTCTGTGATTTGAAAGTGCTTAGAGAACATGTGATACAGGGGGTTCAGGGAGACAGGCAAATCTTCACAGGTGAGAAGGGAAGGAAGGAGGATTGTTGGGCCAGGTTAATGGAAGTGGTGGAGAGGTAGGAATAACTGTATATCCAATAGTCCCAGCTACTTAGGAGGCTGAGGCCAGAGGACTGTTTGAACCAGGAGTTCAAGTTCAGCCTGGGTAACATAGGAAGATCTCATCTGTAAAAAAATTTTTTTAATTGAAAAAAAATTAAGTAAAACACAAAATCTTAAAAAAATAAAAATAATTCAGGTCTTAATTATCTCACTCCTAAACTATACTCATCTCACTTTCTCTAGACTCCTCTCCCTCCAATCCATTTTACAAAGAAGGCCAGATTATTTTCCCCTACTTAATCCCTCTTCTCTCCTTCTACATTTATAATTTAGTAGTTTTAATAAAATCACATGTTAACTTTGCAACTAACTGTTTTTTCTACATTTCTACTGTACCTTGACACAAACCCAACTATAATCAGCCAGATGGTTACTGGCCATTTCCTTATTCCCACATTTGAACATTTCATCAGCAATATTGTGCTTTCATTCTGGAATTTCCTTCATACTCCACGCTGGTTATCCATCTTCTCAGGTAACTCTTCTTTCTTCGTGATGCTTTTTCTTTATACTTAGGCTTCTCTGATCCTATAGAGCACTTAGATCATCTTTTTAGGTATGTTCTACTCACAAACTAAGTAGTAGACTCCTAGGAGAGTGCTATGTGTATGTTCAACAGATCATGTAATTCATACTAGTTCTAGATGGTAAGAAACATTCTGTCATACTGTAATACCTGGACTAGGGTAAGCGTCTTAACTGTTAAAAATATACAACATTTGATAAACATAAAAATCTTAGGTACTAAATATCCACATTCAAAAGAATTAAATTGGACCCCATCTCATACTCTATATATACTATACATATATATGTGATATATATATATGTGTGTGTGCGTTTGTATAGATATATATGTACATACTATATATATGACACACATATATATATATGTATCAAAAAAGATCACAGAACTAAACATTAGTGCTAACACTATAAAACTCTTCGAAGAAAACACAGAATTAAATCTTGGTGACCTTGGACTGGCAATGGTTTTCTTAGATATGACACAGAAAGCAGAAGCAACAAAGGAAAAATAGATAAATTGAACTCAATCCAAATAAAGCTTTTTGTGTTTCAAAACATAATTAAGAAAATGAAAAGACAATCCAGAGAATGGAAGGAAACAGAATCATATTTCTAATGAGAGACTTGTATTCAGAATATATAAAGAACTCATACACTAAAAATGAAAAGACAACCCAATTTAAAGATGGCAAGGCCAGGTATGGTGGCTCCCACCTTCAATCCCAGCACTTTGGGAGGCTGAAGCAAGCAGATCACTGGAGCCCAGGAGTTTGAGATCAGCCTGGGCAATATGACAAAACCCTGTCTCTACAAAATGTAGAAAAATTAGCCAGATGTGGTGGCATACCCCTGTACTCCCAGCTACTTGGGAGGCTGAGGTGGGAGGATTGCTTGGGCCCCATGAGGTTGAGGCTGCAGTGAGCCATAACTGTGCCACTGCACTACAGCCTGGGCAACAGAGTGAGAGCCTGTCTCAAAATGAAAGAAAGAAAAGAGAGAGAGAGAGAGGAAGTAAAAAAGGAATGAAGGAAGGAAGGAAGGTAGGAAGGGAGGGAGGGAGGGAACAAGGGAGGAAGTGGGGAGGGAGGAAGGGGAGAGGAGGGGAGGGGAGGGGAGGGATTCTTCCCATTAATGACCAGGCAAAGAAAAAAAAAACAAAAACAAAACATAGGCAAACAATTCAAATAGATATTTCTCTAGAGAAAATATACAAATGGCCAGTAAACATGAAAAGATGCTTAAAATTATTAGCAATTAGGGAAATGCAAATCAGAATATATTAAGATACCACCTCATACCCACTAGGATGGCTATTTAAAAAAAAAAAAAAAAACAAGACAGTGACAGGTCCTCAAAAGGTTATATACATAGAGTTACCATATAACTCATTAATATACCAAAGAAAAAGGAAAACATGTGGCCACACAAAAATTTTCATACAGCAGTTCATTGCAGCATTATTTATAATAGCCAAAAGAGTGGAAACCCAAATGTCTACCAATTGATAAATAGATTAAATTTGTACTCACAAAATGAAATATCATTCAGCCATAAAGCAGAACAAAGTACTGATACATGTTACCATATGGATGAACCTTGAAAATATACTGAGAGAAGCCACCACAAAAGGCAACACATATTATTTCATGTATAAAATGTTCAGGGGCAGGTCCAGAGGGCAGACATCCTAACCCAACCTGCCCTACCCCCAGAAAAAAAAAGTAAAAAAAAAAATGTTCAGAGAAGGCAAATCCATAGAGACAGAAAGTAGATTAATGGTTTCCAGGGCTTGAGGGAGGGAAGAATAGGAAATGACTGCTAATAGCTATAGGGTTTCTTTTCAGAGAGGTAAAATTCTAAAGTTAGATGATGGTGATAATTACAAAACTTTGTGAATATACTGAAAACCACTGAATTGTACTCTTTAAAATGGTTAACTTTATGGTGTGAGAATTAGATCTTAATAAAGCTATTATTTTTTAAAAAAATTTTAGGGTGTGCCTACCACCAAGATTCTGATAACGTTCACCTTCTGATTCTTAGGATAGTATTCCCACAGTAGGTTTTTCCCCAAATAGAGAATTATAATACTTAAACTGCTTTTTAAAATGCTGCAAGGAGGAACTAAGATGGCCAATTAAAGTAGCTGCAGTCCACAGATCTCATGGAAAGAATAAAAACAGTGAGTCAATTCGACACCTTCAAATGAAATATCCAGGTTATTGCATTGGGACTGACTAGGCAAATGGCTCGACCCACAAAGAATGAAGAAAAGCAGAGTGGGGGTCAGCGGCCCACCCGAGAGTGGCACAAAGCCAAAGGAACCCCCACCGCCAGCCAAGGGAAGCAGTGAGTGACTGTGTGACCATGCCTAAGAAATCACACTTCTCCCACCAATCTTTGTAACCCACCAATCAGGAGATCCTCTCATGAGGCCATGCCACCAGAGCCTTGGGGCCGATACACAGACCTGTGTGGAGTCTTGGCAGAGCAGACACTCAGGCTCACACAGAGATTCAGGAGTTTTACATACTCTGGCTCCAGGAATCCCAGCAAGGCAGAAGATCTATTCATATTCTCCCCTAGGAATGGAGCTAAATACAGAGTGCCAAGCAGTGTCATTCTGTGGGCCCCACTTCCACAGCACTTCACAAGTTAAGACCCACCACCTTGGAATTCCTGACAGACAGTACAACAGGCTGGAGACTGTCTGAGATGGATGAGTCCCCAGGGATAGAAACAGCTGCCATCCCTTTCTGCAATTTGTTCAATTCAGCCCTTCTTGCCTCCCAGCTCCGGGGAGTTGAAGAAATCCTGATGAGGAGGGTCCCACACAATGAAGCACAGCTGCTGTGCCAGATCTTGGCCAGATTGCCTCTTTAAATGGGACCCCAATCCATGACCCTTCCCTGGGTGGGGCCTCTCTGTAAGAATTACAGCAACTCCAGCCTGGGTTATACAGACATAAATCTGATCTCTTTTAAGATGGAGCCCCTCGGGGAAGGGATAACCGATGTCTCTGTAGTTCCGTTACCAGCCTTTCCAGCCTGCTGGCTCTAGAGAGTCTGCATGAGGAAGTGCTATCCCTAATGCAGCACACCTGTTCTACCAGAAAGCAGCCAGGTTGCTTCTTTAAGCAGGTGTGTTACCCCATCCCTCCTGACTGAGTGAAACCTCCCAATGCAGGTCTTCAGATACCTCCTATAGGAGTGTCCAGGATGGCAACAGGTCAATACCCCACTGGGACGAAGCTCCCAGAGAAAGGATCAGGCTGCCATCTTGGCTGTTTCAACACCTGCACTTGCTGATACCTCCAGCTAAAGGAAACACTGAGGCAACTCCCAGTTTGCTGAAGCCATCCCCCAGCAAACTGTAGCAGCCCTGCAGAAAAGTGCCCTGACTCTTAAAAGAAAAACAAACAAACAAAAAGCAACAACAGCAGCAGCATCAACAAAAAAGACCTCACAAAAACTGCATTCAAAGGTCAGCTATCTCAAAAATCAAAGATAGATAAGCTCACAAAGATGAGAAAGAATCAATGCAAAAATGCCGAAAATTCAAAAAGCCAGAGTACCTCTTCTTCTACAAGTGACTGCAACACCTCTCCAGCAAGGGCACAGAACTGGGCTGAGGCTGAGATGGCTGAAATGACAGAAGTAGGCTTTAGAAGGTGGGTAATAATGAACTTCACTGAGCTAAAGGAACACATTGTAAACCAATGCAAAGAAGCTAAGAATCATGATAAAACAATACAGGAGCTAGTAACCAGAGTAGCCAGTTTAGAAAAGAGCATAACTGACCTGACTGAGCTGAAAACCACGAACAAGAAATTCACAATGCAATCACAAGTATCAGTAGAAGAACAGATGAAGAGGAGGAAAAAATGTCAGAGCTTGAAGGGTATCTTTTGAAATAAGACAGGCAGAGAAGAATAGAGAAAAAAAGAATGAAAAGGAATGAGCAAAACCT